ACTGAGTTACATCTGCTCTGGTTTCGTCTCGCTTTCCTGTATTTAAGATCCGCGGGGAAGGGGGGTGGGGGGGGAGGGCTTTGGGGGGCAAGGGGGGGGGTGATTGCATGTCCTTCCTTACCCTAATCCTAGCGCCCCTCCTCCTCCTCCCCCCCCCTCCTCCTCCCTCTCCTCCTCCCCCTCCCTCTTCTCCTCCCCCTCCTCCTCCTCCTCCTCCTCCATCTGCACATTCATCTATTCATATTTATTACCATTCCTTCTCCTCTTCTCCCTTTTCCTCCTTCTTCTCCTTCTCTTCCTCGTTATCCTTTTTCTTCTTATTTTTTTTTTCATTTTCTTTTCCTTTTTTTTCTTCTTTTTCTTCTTCTTCTTCTTCTTCTTCTTTTTCTTCTTCCCCTCCTTTTCCTTCTCCCTCCTCCTCCTCCTCTTCTTCTTCCCCCACTTCCTCCTCCTTTTCTTCCTCCTCCTCCTCCTCTTCTTCCCCCACTTCCTCCTCCTCCTCCTCCTCCTCTTCTTCCCCCACTTCCTCCTCCTCCTCCTCCTCCTCCTCCAACCTCACTTCCTCTTACTACACATCCTCCTCCCCCACTTCCTCCCTCTCCCCCCTTCCTCCCTCCCACTTCTTCCCCCCACCCCCTCTTCCCCTCCCACCCACGCGTGCAACATCAGCATCTTGCAAAACGCACGTCCGCTTCGATCAGCCCTGGATCTGGAATGCGGACGAGACTCATGGTATATGACGCATTATGTCCATCTGCGTATTCAACTGCATGAGATATTATGGACTGATGGGTGTTCCGAAAGAGTTGATTGGAATAGTTGATATAAAGTGTGATTTGAAGAATGGATTTGTGCGTTTGTGAATGCACGACTTGAATTTGATTGTTTTTTTTTATCATTATTTCTGTTACATCGTCATTATTGTTTTTAACATCATCATCATTATTATTATCGCCATAATAATAATAATAATAATAATATTAATAATAATAATGATAATAGTAATAATAATAGTTATCATTATTACTATTATTATTACCATTATTATTACTATCATTATCATTATTATCATTATTATTATTATTATTATTATTATTATTATTATTATTATCTTCATTAGCATTATTATCACTATTATTATTATTATTATTATCATTCCTATTATTATCATCATTCTCATTATTATTGTTATCCTCATTATTATTATCATTGTTATCATTATGACTATTCTTATCGTCTTTATTATCAATTGCATTATCCTTTTTGTCAATATGACTGTTTTGACATGACTATCATTATTATAGTTGACCTTGTTAATGTTATTATTACTATTACCATTATCAGTGTCACTGTTATTGCTATCGTCATTATTAGTAGTATCATCATTATCACTATCACTATTATCGTTACCATTATCATTATCACGTTTATCATTATTATATTTATCATCATCATCACTATTATTATAATCAACATTATCCTGATCATTATTATTATCATTATTAACATTACTATCTTTATTACAATTGTTATTATCATTTTTCATTATTATTGTTGTTATTGTTACCGTTATCATTATTATCCTTATTATCAATATCATTATTATCACTACAATCTTTATTATTGTTATTGTTTTTGTGACCATAATCATTACCATCATTATAAGTATTGTCATTATCATATCAGTTATTGCCATTATAATTATTATCATTGCAATGATTATCATTAATATCATTATTCATATTTTCATTTTTGTTTTTTATTATTACTATTATCATCAGTATCATTATTGTTATCATTATTATCATTATCTTTGCCATCCTCATTGCTTTTAATCTTTTTCATCATCATCATTATCTTGATTTTCATAACTATTTAGATTTTAATACATGTGCGGGTTAAATGTTTTAATTCTTAAATTATCTTGAGGATTCTTTATAGTTTAAGTTTTATCACTGCCGTTGATATTACGATTATGATACTAAGACTGATCATTCTTTCCTAGGTTATAATCATGGCCATTAACAGTAATATCAGCACGAACTGATTATAATTACAGGCATCATCACTAACTATTTACATATTTGTTCATATGATTAGCCATTCATCAGCACAAGTTTCACCACAGGCTTAAGTCATCCAGCGACCCGTGCATGTCAAGAACATGTTATAGATGGTGAGCTTGTACTGTCCTGTTTTTTTGGAAGAGGACCAAGTGCGTGTAATTGCGCAGAAACGGGACAGTCAGGGGGGGAAGGGAGAAGGGGGGAGGAGAAGGGAGGGGGGGAGGGAGCGAGGGAGGGGTGAAGGAAGGGGGGTTGAGAAAGGGTAGGATGAAAGAGAAGTGAAAAGGAGGGAGGAATGGGGAGGAGGAGGACTAGAAGGAAATTAAAGGGTGGATAAGCGACGTGGGAGAGGGAGAAGGAGACAATTTAAGAAAGACAGACAGACACGGAGAAAGAGGAAGAGAGGAAAGAGAGATAATGTGTGTTTGAGAAAGAGGGGAGGGGGGGTAGGAAGCAATTAGGACAGAGAGATAGAGGTAGAGAAATATAGACAGAGAAAGAGAGGGAGAGAGAAAGAGATAAAAGAAAAGAGAATACGAAAGAGACTTTAAAGATGAAATACGAAATGCGCAAATCTACAAACATTTATATTTCCATCAGTATCACAGACAGAGCATCGAACCTATAAATCAAACTTCCACAACCTCCATCTTTCTAAAAGAGTCTCCTAACATACCACACATTCACAAACCAACGTACGTAAACCACTGAACGAACACCTCAATTCACACGGATATACCGGATTTTCACCCATTAAGAATCGTTCTACGCCAGTTCGCGACAGGACAGGAGACCAGGACCCCATGACGAGGGAAATTCCTCTGGTTTTGCAAGAGAGTATTGTACTAACATCATCCACTTAATATTACCTATAGCACGTCGTCCGATCTGACCTTCACGGCGTGGGATGGTTTGCTCCACTCTATAGGGATTGGATGCCGGAAACTTCATCTTCTTTGGCGTAGGGGCGAATCAAGTATGCATATTTGTAGACAGATAGGTAGGTAGGTAGATAGGTAGGTAGGTAGGTAGGTAGATAGGTAGGTAGATAGGTAGGTAGGTAGGTAGGTAGGTAGGTAGGTAGATACGTAGATAGATAAATAGATGGATAGAAAGATAGGTAGGTAGGTAGATACGTAGATAGATAAATAGATGGATAGATAGATAGGTAGTTAGATACGTAGATAGATAAATAGATGGATAGATAGATAGGTAGGTAGGTAGATACGTAGATAGATAAATAGATGGGTAGATAGGTAGGTAGGTAAGAAGATACGTAGATAGATAAATAGATGGATAGACAGATTGGTAGGTAGGTAGATACGTAGATAGATAAATAGATGGGTAGATAGATAGATAGGTAGGTAGGTAGATACGTAGATAGATAAATAGATGGATAGATAGATAGGTAGTTAGATACGTAGACAGATAAATAGATGGATAGATAGATAGGTAGGTAGGTAGGTAGGTAGGTAGATAGGCAGATATATAGATAGGTAGGTAGGTAGAGAAAGAGAGAGAAAGAGAGAGAAAGAGAGAGAGAGAGAGAGAGAGAGAGAGAGAGAGAGAGAGAGAGAGAGAGAGAGAGAGAGAGAGAGAGAGAGAGAGAGAGAGAGAGACAGACAGACAGACAGAGACAGACAGACAGACAGACAGAGAGAGACAGACAGACAGACAGACAGACACACAGACAGACAACAGACAGATAGATTGTGTCCATGTTTCGTTTACATACAGCAAAACGCTGAAGCCTTTTGTAGCAAGTCTCTTCGCCGGATCATGGGGTACAGTTGGCAGGACCATGTGTCAAAATGACGGCATAGGACCTGTTGTGAGACCGGCATAGGACCTGTTACTTGCATAATACGGAACCGCCAACTCAGGCTATATGGGCACCTGTTTGTGTGTTTGTGTGTGTGTGTGTGTGTGTGTGTGTGTGTGTGTGTGTGTGTGTGTGTGTGTGTGTGTGTGTGTGCGTGTGTGTGTGTGTGTGTGTGTGTGTGTGTGTGTGTGTGTGTGTGTGTGTGTGTGTGTGTGTGTGTGTATGTGTGTGTGTGATAATATATATCCATATCTATACCTATCTATCTATTCATCTATCTACCAAATCTATTTGTATATATAAGTATACATATATGTATCTATGTGTATATATGCATACATACATACATGTGTGTGTGTGTGTGTGTGTGTGTGTGTGTGTGTGTGTGTGCGTGTGTATGTGTGTGTTTGTGTGTGATAATATATATCCATATCTATATCTATCTATCTATTCATCTATCTACCAAATTTATTTGTATATATAAGTATACATATATGTATCTATGTGTATATATGCATACATACATACATGTGTGTGTGTGTGTGTGTGTGTGTGTGTGTGTGTGTGTGTGTGTGTGTGTGTGTGTGTGTGTGTGTGTGTGTGTGTGTGTGTGTGTGTTCTCAATAAGAAATTAATTAATTATCTGATACAATGACATTTAGTAATAAGTATTATTATTAAATAAACCGGGAGTAAAACAAAGAAAAGGAGGTAAAAGGCAGGAGAGAGAGAAAGAGTATGGGAAAGGAGAGAGTAAAGAGAAAATATAAGAGAATGGGAGGGAGAGCAAAAATAAGAGAATACCAAAAACAACGAGAGAATACAATAGAAGGAAAGAAAACGAAAAATAATCAAACCATAATAAGAAAACGAAGAAACAAGAATGAGAGAGAAAAAAAAATACAAACACGAATATATATGCACACGATCTATTCAGCAGAATACATATAAACATAAGCTACTGACGTCATACACTTATGTAATAAAACCAGCTTCAGGACCGCAACTAAATTGTAGGCCCCTGACAGTATTTCACTGCCAAACTACAGCTAAAAACCCTAATCTTTACGTCATATTCCCTCACATTCTCTCTCTCACATTCTCTCTCACCC